TACCAGCGGGTACCTGTCTCTTTACATTCAAAGGCACTATAATGCCGAAGGAAATTGAGTTTTTTCGTCTACCCTTACCAGTGTCAATGTATATCCCATCAGTGACGCAATGTTTTTCATGTCTCCTGTATGGGCACACTAAGAAAAACTGCAAAGGGCAGAAAAATTGTTTTAACTGCGGCGAAAAAAATGCGCAAAGCCATAAAATTATGATAACCGGGGAAGATAAACCCGCGTATACATGTGACACTAAATGCCACTTTTGCCACGAACCACATAAAAGTTCCTACAAAAAAATGTCCAGAATACATGAGATAACAAGATATTAAAAAAATAATGGCGTTTGAATACATGACATTCCATGATGCATCAGCCGCATCAAAAAAACTTACCAATCAAGAGTCGATTACTTTTATAACCGTGCTGAATTCCCCCAAATTAAGACAGCCCAAACATCTAACAATTGCCACCCTCAATCAAAGACGACCCTCACATTTTAACAGCAATGCAAAGAAGCGAACCTTCAGCCAAACTGTAACAAGCGAACCCTCTAGAAAAAGAATAATCCACCAATCTGGTTAGGATATGAAAGCACATAATAATGCCTTAAACTCTCCTAACGGAAGAAGTCATAACGCTAACAACTCCATCACACAACGCACTCATGCTTGACTCGGACAAATCATTCTTGCATCATAATATATCACAAACGCCTTCAAGTGCCTCTAGGAATATTTAGCACAACCCAAATCTAACCAACTATGCAACTCCAAATGAAGACATAAAACAACTACTGAAATAAATCTTAACTATACCAAGCACCGAGAAAACACTCCATAACTTTATTATAAGTTATTTAAATAGAGAGACATATCGGGATCTGGATTATCCGGATTCGTGTCAAAATACAACCATTCATAATCAAAAGAACAAAGAAAAATAATCTCAACATACTGCAATGGAATATAAGAAGCGTAAATAAAAACAGGGCTAATCTATTTAAATTTTCAGAAGGATTTGATCTATTTTTTTTAACTGAAACCTGGCTAAAAAACAACCATAACTTCAGTTTGAAATCATTTCAATCGATAAGACAAGACAGGGAAGATGGGCATGGAGGAGTAGCAACATTAATCAAAAATAACATTACATTTGATACTATTGAAACTTTTAATAATAACCATATTCAGTACATAACAATTAAAATAAAATACAAATTTTAACAAACATCTATTGTAACTCAAATTACAAAATATCCCAGGAAATTTTAAAGAACATCTTAAACATAGGCACCCCTATGGTTCTCATGGGGGACTTGAACTGTCACCACCTTTTGTGGGATAAAACTACGCCTAACAAAGGGGGAAAAACATTACAAGATTTTCTGTTTAACAACGAATTAATCTTACTAAACGATGGCACACCGACACTTCTCCAAAACCCCAACCATGGCAAAAGTGCACTTGACCTCACAATAGTGAGCGGCGACTTGGCTACATTTTCAAATTGGAGGGTCCTACCCGATTACGGAGGTAGTGATCACTTTCCAACCTCTTTGAGAATAGGGGACTCTGATCATAATTTTGATGATATTTGGATGCAACCATACAAAGTTAGACCTTTTTACGAAGCCAATTGGGATCTCTATTATGAAAAACTAAATTTGGAAACCTTCCCTAATGATATCACTTTTTTACAGTTCGAATCTAAATTAAACAATATTGCAGACCAAACTATTCCTTTCAAAACATTAAATAAACCTTCGAAAGAAGGCAATGGTGGGACGCAGAGTGCTCAGCTTTAGTTGAAAATAGAAAAGCCGTAACTTCTCGGACAACCCCAATATGGAAAATTGCTTGGAAACAAAAAGAAGAATTGCCTTAACTAAAAGGGAACGTAACAATAAGAAACGCCAAAAATGTATATCATTTTGTGAGACTCTAAACAGAGATTCCAATACTTGTTATGTCTGGAATAAAATCAAAAAGTTTGCAAACAACAAAAAAAATACTAAAAAGAAAAACATACAAGATGAAATAAAAATGACAAATTTACAAAATATGGGAATTTGTAATATAATACCTAACTTCAACCCCTTAAGCCCAAAAGAAGAATCACTCCAATTTTTTTCTATTCACAATTTAAATAACAGCTTAAGCAATAAAAAAATCTCGGCAACCGGCATGGAGGATGTTTCATATGCGATGCTCAAAAATATGCCAAATAATGCAAAGAAGGTCTTATTGAAATGTTATAATAATATTTTACAAGGACATGATTTCCCATACACTTGGAAGAAATATATCATCGTTTTTATTTTAAAACCGAACAAAAGTCCAGATTCTCCGAATTCGTATAGGCCCATAGTCTTATCATCATGCTTTCTTAACACCCTGGAAATCATGTTTAAGAATAAAATTGAATGGATGCTTGAATCTAAAAATGTGTTCTCCCCTTTTCAAACAGGCTTTAGGAAAGGTATGGGCATACAGAATAATATATCCTTTTTATGTTCATATGTAGATCTGACCTTTAAAGACAACCAAATGGCCATTGCAGTTTTCCTAGATTTGAAGTCTGCGTATGACTATGTCGATCCTTACGCACTTTATGAAGACTTGAACAACTTAACTATTTCAACTGAAATAAATAATGTAATCCTCAAAATCATGCAGGATAGGCATCTATTTACCAGAAAGAATGATGGTTCCTTCTTCGGCTCATTAAAAACGTCCGCGGGTTTGCCTCATGGTTCTCCTCTTAGTGCTATTTTGTTTAACATTTATATCCGGAACCTTTTTAACATTAAACTTACAAATGTCCTACTTATTGGCTACGCAGACGACCTGGTCTTGATTGCCAAGGGTACTAATATGGCAACAATGGTGAGAGATATAAACTCGGCGTTGGAGCGGATATTGGAGTGGTTGGAAAATAAACATTTCCAACTCTTTCTGCAAAAATGTTAAGCGATTCACTTCTCAAAAGGACAACGCAGTCTGACACCCCCTAACGTTACAATTAAAAATACAACCATACCATATAAGAACGAAGTCAAATACTTGGGAGTTATTCTGGACAAACACTTAAAATGGAAAATTCACATAGAAAACACCTCAAATAGGGCCACAAGGGATCTGAATGTACTGAGAAGTGAAAAGTCTCTAGACGATAGAATAACGTTAGGGAGAACCATCCAGAGAAGGAAAAGGCGAAACCTTTCAAGCCTTTAAGTTGAGTGTTTAACGCACTTAAGGAAGAATGTGTTAAACATATTGATTATTTTATGTTCATATTAAATAGTTATTTTAAAAATCACCAATAAAATATAACATGGGATTACGTGGAATCGTAGCGCAAGTTCGTACAAAAATCTACAGCAAGTTTTCAAAGTGAAAAGTCTCTAGACGATAGAATGACGTCAGGGAGAACCATCCAGAGAAGGAAAAGGTGAAACCTTTCAGGTCTTTAAGTTGGGTGTTTAACGCACCTAAGGGAGAATGTGTTAAACATCTTGATTATTTTATGTTCATGTTAAATAAAGTGAAAAGTCTCTAGACGATAGAATAACGTTAGGGAAAACCATGTTTGCAGGGTATGGTGGGGGGCGAATCCTCTCACCTTGCTTACCGTCATTCACGCATTGGTTAAATCCCATTTGGAGTTCGCTTCTTTTGTTTTGGCAATTCCACTCAAACTCTCCTTAAAAAAACTAGATGTAATACATCATCAAGGGTTACGCATATGTTTGGGGTGCATGAAATCGACTCCTATTAATACGTTGCTTTGTGAAGCAACAGACTTTCCTCTTTCGCTGAGAAGAAATATATTAGCAATACAATTCCTATCTAAAATCTTACCGTTAACGAACCACCCACTTCTTGGCTTACTAAAAACACTTAGAATAAAATATTTGGTCAACACCACTACCAGAAATCTTAGGGTACCAGTACTGGTGCGGAGCCTGAGTAGTTTTTTTCCCCATCATAAACTTTTTTTGAGGAACCCTACACTACCATGTTATATCTTTAATTATCAAAACCAAATAACCCCTATCAAAACAGTTACCTTGAACATCAATAAAAAGGACACTGATGCACGGCAACACTTCTTATTAAAAACCGAACAATTTAATGATACTCACACTTTTGTATTTACTGACGCTTCAAAAAAATGTAGGTATGGGGATTTCAATTCCTGAAATAAACTTTAAATTTTCCTCAAAGCTCCCCAAGGAATTAGCAATATCCAACGCCGAGTTAATTGCCATATACGAGGCAATTATCGTCACAATCAGAAAGCATATCCCCAAGGTAATTATTTTTACAGACTCCCAGAGTGGCATTAAGAGACTCCAACGCACTCACATTGCAACGGACACTGATTTTGTGACGGGTCAAATTCGGGAATTGATACAAAAAACTAACAACCTCGAAAATCGATGAAATTCTATTGGGATTGAACCCCAGCCATGTTGGGATTTTGGGTAATGAAGAGGCAAATAAGCTGGCAAACATCGGCAGAATACTGAATGTTCCTTTGGACTGGACATTTCAGTGCCGATGGCAGACATAGTGAACACAAGTAGAAACGAGTTAATTTCGCAATTTCAACAAACCTGAAAAAAATTAAATAACAAATCTCGGTATAGCAGAGTTCAGGTGGACTTTTTGAGTACTCCATGGTTTTCAAAAATTTCTTTTTACCGAATGAGAACCGGACACTGTTTGACAAGAGAACATTTATTTAAACTGAACCTTAGAGACGACCCCTTATGTGATTGCGGTTCCGTGGATCACTTAGACCACATATTTTTTGAGTGTCCAATTCACCACGTACCAAACTTTAATATATATCAAGAGCTTGTGAAGATAGGCTTTAAAACGCCCATTAACATGACAGTTATACTTGGTCATCCAACGGAAAAGTCAATCAATGCAATCATAAAATTTTTAACTATTAGTAAACTTCAACTGTGAAAAATTTCAAAATAATTGAATGTTGCAGATGTTGGGTCCACCTGCCAGTTGTGACGTCAGCCCTACTCCTGTGTGTTTAGCCATTGTGTAGTAGTTAGCTAACCTTTGTTGTTTGAGTTACTAAACCCCAGTTTTCTCAGCTTTTAATGGAGTTTGTGTTCACGTTATTTGATTCGGAGCCTTGCAGTGCTCTGAGACGGGAAGAATAAGACCGAGGGTTGGGGAGTGCAGGCTCGTCTATCCTGACTTCCCTTCAAATCGACTGGCAAATTGCTGAGAGCAGAGCCAAGAAACTACAAAAAAAGTATACATAAACGTGCCCTTATTTTTAATACTGAATAAGACAAAATTATTTAAGATTGGGGTTTCCATTTGAAAAAATTGATTTTGGGTAGTTTTCTCAAATTTATTTTGAAACTTACTTTTTTTACACTTTGTATTAATAGTGATCAAAATATTGTCGAAATTCCAATAAAGTATGTCTTTTTCAATAAGAAATGCGAGTCAAGTTAAGTAGCACGTATTCCCCCCGTATAGTAAAAATGAATAGTTATTCGAGTGGCTGCATCTGTCATTTTTGTACATAAATTTCAAATAGGTATATGAAAAACCGTTAGACTTAGGTGTAGTATAATATACATGAGATATATTTAGAATCTGGAGTTGACTCCAAAAATCTAATAATACATAGGGTTTTTTTACAAACTTCTTTTTGGGTATTTCGCCTCAAAAATTTTTGTCTTTATAAAAAAACAGAATTTCCTCAAGTCTTTTATTACAGATTGATAAATAGTGCTCCTATTTCGCAATAAGAACGAATTATTTATCAAAAAGTAATCAAGAACTATCACCTAGAGGGTAT